CTGCTTGCTCTCTCTCTCTCTCAAAGTAAATAAATAAACTTACACATATAATATATATATATATATGAATATATATATGAAAATTATTAAAATTTTTTTTAATGTTTTATTTATTTCTAGGAGAGAGAGAGAGAGAGAGACAGCATGAGCAAGGGAGGGTCAGAGAGAGAGGGAGTCACAGACTGAAACAGGCTCCAGGCTCTGAGCTGGCAGCCAGCACAGAGCCGGACGCGGGGCTCAAACCCACGATCCGCGAGATCATGACCTAAGCGAAAGTTGGACGCTTAACCAACTAAGCCACCCAGGCGCCCCTATGAAAATTATTTTTAAAAAATGAAAGTGCTCCATAACCAGCCGGTAGCTGATGTTTGAGGGGGTGGGGTAGTGCTACAGGGTCAGGGGAGGACATCTGCCCCATGTTAGCATTGAGGGTAAGGTGGAAGCACGGAGCTTGGCAGGCAGGACACGGCATGGGCAAGGAGTGCCTGGACGTGCACTAGCCTGCCTGGCCTTGCTGCTTGCTGCCTCTGAGACCTTAGGACTCCTTGAGCTTCGGTTTCCTGGTCCCTAGGGGGGTAATAACACTGCCAATCTCAGACTGCGCCAGGAGGACTAAATGAACTAACCCAGCACTGTCCAAGCAACCACTAACCACCTGTGGTAGTTGGCTAGGACTGCTCTAATAAAGTCCTGGCAACAAAATGTATTCTCTCACAGTTTTGGAGACTGCAAGGCCAAAATCAAAGTGTCAGCAGGCTTCGTTCCTTCTGAGGGCTGGGAGGGAGAACCTGGCTTCCGATGGCTTACCGACAATCTTTGGCATTTCTTGGCTTATAGAAGCATCACCCCAATCTCTGTGTTCACGCTCACATTGTATTCTCCCTGTGGGCATGTCAGTATCTAAATTTCCCCTCTTGTTAAGGACATCAGTCATGGTGAAATAGGGGCCCATCCTTCTCCAGTATGACCTCGTCTAAACTAATTACATGTGCAATGACCCTGTTTCCAGGTAAGGCCACATTCTGAGATACTGAGGATTAGGGCTTCAACATATGACTTTGGGAGGGGACCCAATTCATGCAGAACACCACATGTGACTCGTTGAGCGTTTGAAATGTGGCCAGTCAAAGTTGAAATGAAATACTACATATTAAGCTGAAATACTAAATACACACTGGATTTCAAAGGCTTTGTACAAAAAAAAATGCAAGATATCTCACTATTAATTTTTAATGAGATAATTAATTTATCTCCTTTATGAATCATACTGATACGTGATAAAATGATGATATTTTGGGTACCCTGTATTAAATAAAGCATTATTAAAGTGAGATTTTTTTTTAACAAGGCTGCTAGAGAATTTAATGTTACCTATGTGGGGGTGCCCAGGTGGCTTAGTCGGTTAAGGGTCCCACTCTTGATTTTGGCTCAGGACACGATCTCATGGTCATGAGATTGAGCCCCGAGAAGGACTCCGCACTGGGTGTGGACCCTGCTTAAGATTCCCTGACCCTCTCTGTCTCTACCCCCTCCTCTCTTTCCTTCAAATAAAAAAAATAAAGTTACCTATGTGGCTTTCATTCTTTATCTACTGGACAGTACTGAACTAATATTTACAAAGCCCTTAGAATAGGCCTGGCCCAGAGGAAATACCTATAAGTCTTGTTAAATAAAGGCTTGTCTCTGGAAGGGACTCGTTACTTGTGGCATTTTAAAAATATGACTTTTCCCCCTTCTCAGAGACAGGGAAAAGTTGGGAACACATTTCTTGCCTGGCCTTCTTTTTATTGAATGGATTTTGTTGTACATTTCTGGGAGCATACGGCATATGTAATGTGGTCTCATCTTTGCCAAAGTGTTCCATGGTATTTTTTTCTGTGTCATTATAAACTCTTCACCAGCCACATTAAGTACTGTGGTTTCTGAAAAAATTGTTTCTAGTTTTCCTATTAACAATGCACACACAGCTTTAAGCTGGAGATCCCCTTCTGCTAGTTAGGATTATTACTGGACAAACTGGTAAACTATCAAAGGATCCAATGCATATTGTCAGGTAGTTTTCTAGAAAAGCTGAATTAATTTCCAGTCCTGCCAGCAATAAATCCATATCTCCATTTCACCAGCTTCTTCTTTTATTTACTTATTTTTTTAATGTTTATTTATTTTTGAGAAAGAGAGGCAGACAGACAAACGGACAGAGTGTGAGCAGGGAAGGAGCAGAGAGAGGGGGATACACCTAATCCGAAGCAGGCTCCAGGCTCCAACCTGTCAGCACAGAGCCTGACGCGGGGCTCAAACCCACAAATCGTGAGATCATAACCGACTGAGCCAGGTGGCCCCAGTTTCTTTCTTTATTATCAGATTATTTTTAAAAATGGGTATGTGTGTGTGGTTTGGTTTGTTCTGTTTTGAGGCCAATTTAGCTGGGGGGAAAACGTTTCTCACTGCTTGTATACCCATTTCTCTGCTGACCTGGAATTTGAACATTTATCCATTTGATTATTTCCCCTGTGCATTTCCTCTTCTGATAGTGTGTTGAGTCCTTTGTCCATTTCTTAATGCCTTACTATTTTTCTTATTAATTTGCATGCATTCTTTATAAAGATATCAATTTTTGTATATTTTATTTTTTTTACAAGTTCACATTAGCAAATGCTGACTTAGTTGTGTGTCTTGTTTAACAAATTTTTGCATTTTTATGTGGTCAAATCAATTGACTGTCCCCTTTGTGATTTCTGTCATTGCTTTTAAATTTAAAAGAAAAATTAATGTTTATTTATTACTTTGAGAGAGAGACAACACAAGCAGGGGAGGGACAGAGAGAGCGGGAGGTTCAGAATCCAAAGCAGGCTTCAGGCTCTGAGCTGTCAGGAAAGAGCCCAATGCAGGGCTCAAACCCACAAACCGTGAGTTTTGGCTCATGACCTGAGCCAAAGCGGCCGCTTAACCAACTAAGCCACCCTGGCACTCCTGCCATTGCTTTTAAAAACAAAGACCATGCCCTTCTAGAGATGGACTGTCAGTTTCACTTTCTTTTAGCTTTTTACAATTTTTTTTTTATTTGAGGGGTAGGAAGGGGCAGAGGGGGAGAGAGAATCCCAAGCAGGCTCCATGCTCAGTGCAAAGCCTGTCACGGGGCTTGATCCCACCACCCTGAGATCATGACTTGAGCCAAAATCAAGAGTCAGATGCTCAACTGACTAAGCCACCTCGGCGCCCCTACAATTTTTTTTTAAATTAAGATTTTAAATCCCTCCAGGACAGTGGTGTTCAAATAAAATACAATGCAAGCCACAAATGTGAGGCATACATGCAACTGAAATTTTTCTAATAGCCACATTTTTTAAAAAGTAAAAAGAATAGAGCAAAGAGGATTTTTAGTGAAAATAGTAAAACTATTCTGTATGATACCACAATGGTCAATATATGTCACTACATATTTGTCTAAACTCACAGAATGCACACCACCAAAAGTAAGCCCTAATGTAAACTATAGACTTTGGGTGATAATGATGTGTCAGTATAGGTTTAGCAGTTGTAACAAATGCCCCACCCTGGTGGAGGCTGTCCAGAGTGGTGGAGGCTGTGTGCATGTGGTGGAGGGAACAAAGTATATGAGACGTCTCCATACTTTCCGCTCAGTTTTGCTGTGAATCTAAAGCTGCCCTAAAAAATAAAGCTTACTCATTTTAAAAAATTCTAAATTGTAAAACACTTAAAAAGAAACAAATGAAATCAATTTTAGTAATGTATCTTATTTATCCCAAAATTTCAAACAAAAATGACTGCAACATATAATCAATATAAGAAATTAATTAATGAAATCTTTCATTCTGGGGGTATTAAGTCTTCAAAATCTGACATGTATATTTTACACTTACATCACATCTTTATTCCACGCTAGTGACAAGCCATGGTCCCAATACTTAACAGCCACATGTGGCTCATGGCAACCAGATTGGTCAGTACAGATCTAGAACTTGCTTCAACCTCGAGGGAGGATAGAGGGGGAAAGGTTCTGGTGGCCTGATTTATCTCCACCTCACTTTCCACCTGCTCCTCTCTTGAAAATTCCTGTCCAGCCAAGCTGTTTTCTCACCTTTTCCAGTGACCTCTGCCTGGTTCCTGGATGTTGTCCTGGCCACCTGTGTCAGCCGCCCACCACCCTTGGCCTCCTGACTCCTCCATCACCCCACCGGGGGCTTCAGCCACCCACTACCACCTCCCCTTCCCCAGCCTTCAGGCTGTAGATCTTACCTAGGAGCTCACCACCATGGGGCCATCCCAGAATTTCGACCTCTGCAGCTCCCTGCTCTGGTGAAAGCATCAATAATAATGATGATGATTATGAAACAATATTCCTAACATTGCATGCTGACTGGCGGTGCAGTGCCAAGCTAACCCGTGGCGGATCATCTTATCTAATCCTCCTGACCATCTTGAAGGCTGGAACCATTTTGCACATAAAGGCTTCTATCAGCTGGTGAGCACAGACAGAGTCCAGCCTGTGTTCAAGGCCGGCGGGGGGGAGAGGGGGGGAGCTTGGGGGCCTCAGGGCAGAAGGTCCTGGGGATCACCTAAAGGGTTGAGCCAGGTTTATAAAAGGTTCCATATTGCTGGAAAGACGGTCTAGGTGTGTTCCCCAGAGCTTGCCCACATGTGTTTTATGCCTGCCACCTCCCCCCCTTCCCCTGCCACGCAGGAACCGGTAGAAGCCCCAGGGATGAGGGTGCCTGGAGGTGGTGGCACCTGTTGCCCTCCCCTGGAGTCCGCGCTCCGGGACCCCTCTGGAGCACGTCACCTCCCAGCCCCGGGTTGGGTGAGTCCTGGCCACCGCCGAAAAACAACCCGAGGGGAGGGGAGAACTGGGCGGGGCGGGGCAGGGCTGGTCCCTGGTCCTCTGGGTTGAACCGATATCTGATCCGCGGGGCAAAACCAGGGGGCGGCGAGGGCTGGCGGCGGGCGAAGACTCCAGGCACACCTACGCCCCGCGAACCCCTGCAGCTGCGGGCACCATGAGCGGCCGAGTCGGGGACCTGAGCCCTCAGCAGCAGGAGGCGCTGGCCAGGGTGAGAGGCTTCGCGGGCAGGGAGGCTTGGGTAGGGGGCGTGCTGCCTGACGCTGCCCACCCGGGCTGGAGCCTCCATTGTTCAGATGGAAAAGGGACCCTGGAGAGTGTGCCTGTCCAGCCTTCTTGGTCCGGGGCGCAGTTGCTGAGGCGGCCTTACGCCGGACAGCACACTTGAGCCTTTCTCTGGGCTACACGGGGTGGCAAATCCAGCTTTCCACTCCTGCCCTCTCAGGACCACAGAGCCTTGACCCTTGTCCCCTGGTAGTGGGGTAGGGTGGTGCTGCCATCCCTCTGGGCAGCTTCGGGCAGACAGACGAGCAGATCTCCTCCCAGAATTGCAACATTTGTTTGGTTTCTTTTTGGCTCCCCGGGGGTCCAAGCCTTCTCCCTGTTGTACATGTTTTCATTAAACAGGAATGGGCTAGTTTTGGTGACAATCTTGCAGGCTGCAGCTGAGAGTGTCAGCCCATGGGGGGAGGGAGGGCATATTCAGGTCTTGGGTACCACTGCATTAATTTGGTTTGCAGATGTCAGGGCCTAGAAATTGTGACTTCAGGTTAGGGGAGGAGGGATTACAGGCCTGGCTCACACTTTGGACAGCTTCACACTCATGGAGAATAGTTTCTTTTGTGGCTCCTACCCTGGAAAGGGTCCTCCAGGGAAGAATGAGGATCCCCGATGAAAGAGGGGAATCCTGGGTGAATTCCTAACAAAGTAAAGAAGGGTCCCAGGTAAAGAGTGGGGTCCGTGGGTGAATTCCCAAGTAAAGAAGGAGGTGCCAGGAGCTAAGGGTCCTGAGCAGAGGGAGGTGTCCCCAGGTGAAGGAGGAGGGGGAGTCCCCTGGTTAGTCCTCTCTCTCCCCACTGGTAATGACCTCAGGGGGAAGCCCCAGCCACTAGGCTCATGGGAAGGGCTGGACACCTGGACTTTGGGGGTGAATTATGATGACGATGCTTATGGGTCAAAGAGCTTTAAATAATGTAAAAAGTTTATTCTTATTTTTTCTGTTACTTAAAATAAATGAATGGTAGTTGTTTAAAACTTAAGGAAAAGAGAAAAAAGTAGGAAAAAGAAGAAGTCACCCATGGTCCCAAAGGTCTAGACAGCCATGCCTAGAAGCATTTCCTTCTACTTTTTCTTAAGCCTGGTTTTGACCACCTCTGGTTGCACTTTCAGAGACTACTTTCTCCCTATGGCATCTTTGTTAAGGTAGTATTTTCTTCAAGTTACTCCAGACGCTTTCCAGCACCTGCTTAGTGGCTTTCTGTCTTACTTGACCTGCTTTCCAAGGATGGAGTGGCTTTAGGATTAGAAAATGTGGACTGTTCCTAACCTTGCAGCTCCCCCTACTCTGTCCCTGGAGAAGACCCTCCACCACCCGCCTCAGTGTCCTCATCCACAAAGCAGCGATGTGAGTTTGGCTCCTCCTGCCCTAGAGCACATCCTGAGGTTCAAAGGAGGGATTCTGGTAATCTGGAAGGGCAGAGGGGTGCAGAGTTATTGTTACTGTCTTCGCTCCCACTGAAAAGCTTCCTCAGGAGCCCAGAGGTTGCAGCTGATCAATGTGCAAGAACCTCCATTCCAAGTGCCTGGGGGGCTGGGCTGGGGGTGATGATAGTGCATGCTGTCATTCGTGTGACTTGTCAGCACTGGAAGTGTTTAAGCCTATTATTCATTTTTAATTATATGAGCAATACATGAATACATTCTCATTTTAAACATCATCCATGAAGCTAAAGGAGGTTTGGTGGATGGCTGTCAAGATAGCTTCCTGTGGCATTGCTAACACTGGCTTCTAAACCATAATCCCCATTCACAGGTCCCCCTGCAAACCCATTCCTCCAGGACTTGCCTTCGGCTCCCTTAATCCCCATGGACGTGAGGTCTCCTCTCCGTCCCACACCTGAGCCTCAGTCCCATGCCCAAACGTTCAGCGGCTTCCCCAAACTCTGCCAGTAGGAAGAGGTTCTGACAGCAGGTCAGCTCCCCTCCTTCTCCAGCCTCGACGGCACCTGATGAGGCATCCCTGGCCCTGCTGACCTTTGCCTGGGATTGTTTCCACAAAGACTCCACTGTCCAGAGCTCCAGGCAGCCCATGTTTGCTGGGTGCCCACATTTTTTTGGCACCTGCTGCAAGCCAGGACTGACACTAAGTACTTTACCTGTGCACACTCCTTTGATTAGCACAGGTTTATCTTTATCCCCACTTCACAGATGAGGAAATTGAGGCTCAGAGCAGTTAAGTAACTTGCTTCCAAATCTAGACCCTCTAGACACAGTATCAAGGGCAAGGTTCCTAAAATGTTCTGGTTTGCTCACATCAGCTTCACCAGGGATCTTTGTGAAAATAGGGATGGCAGGGCTCCACCTCAGTCCTATAGAATGAGGATCGTGGGGAGGCGGACAGCCTTCAAAGTTTGAGAAGGACCCAACTCTTCCTGCCATGGTGGGCTGAGGGGTGCTGCATTCCCACGTGGCAAAAAGGTCCAGGCAGCTGCTTCTAACTGTGCAGGGTCCCCCACCCTGCAGGGTCCCTGGACAGGACTGACTGGCAGACTGAGTTTGGGAAGAGTCAGTGTTGGGGTGGGAACCGTAGGGGTCATGGGAGCCACTTTGACCATTATATCTCCCCCTCAGTTCCAGGACAACCTCCAGGACCTGCTGCCCACGCTGCCCAATGCTGATGAATACTTTCTCCTGCGCTGGCTCCGAGGTGAGGCTGACAGGGTCAGGAGGGGAAATAGGGAGAGAAGGTAGAAGGGTTTCAGGAAAGTGGGTGGAGCTTTGGGAGACAGTGCTACAGAGTGGGGAACATAGGCTCTGGAATCAGCCTCCTTTAGGCTAGAATATGAGCTCCCCTCCAAATCAGCATGGCACAAAAAACCCATAGAGCCTCAGTTTCTTCATCTGTAAAGTGGGGATGGGACTACCAAGGGTTATTGTAAGTGTTAAATGAGAGGGTGTGGTGTCAGGCACTTGGTGGGCACATGGTCCAGGTGAGGTTAGAGTTCATACCCGGGAAGTTCTTAGGATGATCAGCCTTGAGTCCGATAACCCTGAATATACTCTTCAGGACTTGCCTTTGGGTCTATCTCCAGTTCTTTGAAGACAGGGCTGTGTCGTCCTCTTTGGGAACCTGGAAACCGAGCAGGTGCCCAGCAAACACTTCCAAAAGTAGATGCAATTAAAGGTAGAGAAGGAGTTTCTTCCAGGAATTGTCACAGTAGCATAAAATTAGAATAACAGAAACCTTAGGGAAAAATTCATTTCAATTCAGCACACCCCATGGAATAGATTTTGAACTTGAACCAGAAGAGCTGTCAGAAGCCAGGCTGGAAAGTGCACACACGGTGTGGTGATAATGCCAGCCTTGGACTCAGGCAAACCTGCTATTGAATCCCAGCTTTGCCATGTGCTAGCAGTGTGCTTATGGCAATCACCCACTGTCTCTCAGCCTTACTTTTCTCTTCTGGGTAATGGGTGTAACACTGCTTCCCACCTTTGAGATGCTGTGAGTCAGACATGAACTCACGGGCGTGCACAGTGTCTGCACAGAGGAAACCCTCCCTTCTGTTCTATTCTATTTGGTCACTATTTTAAATTACCATTTAGTTTTTTTTTAATATCACAATTTTTTTGACGTTTATTCATTTTTGAGAGACAGAGAATGACAGTGTGAGTGGGGGAGGGGCAGAGAGAGAGGGAGACACAGGATCCAAAGAAGGCTCCAGGCTCTGAGCTGTCAGCACAGAGCCCAATACAGGGCTTGAACCCGTGAACAGTGAGATCATGACCACAGCCAAAGTCAGATGCCTAACTGACTGAGCCACCCAGGTGCCCCTTAAACTACATTTTCTACAAGCTATTTTTAGGTCGGTTTGGATTTACAAAGTGTTGTGAAGATAGTACAGGAAGCCACCATATACACTGCACCCAGTTTCTCCTATTATTAACAGTTTTTATTCCTATGGTTCACTTGTTACAGTTAATGAACAAATATTGATACATGATTATTAAGTAAAATCTCTATTTAGATTTCCTGAGCTTTTCTCTTCCAGGATCCCATCCAGGATGCCACATTACACTTAGTTGTCATTTCTCAATAGGCGCTCTTGGCTGCAGCAATTTCTATTCTGTTTTTGACAAGTTATGTCCATGTCATTCTCCTGGGCTAAAGAAGGAGTGAGGACAGTAGATTCCTTTTTTTTTAAGTAATAAAAACCCATTGAGAATTCCAGGGATGGTAGTTATCGCCTCCCGACCTGGAGGGAGAAACCAACACTGTAGGAAATCACTCCAAAATCAACACGATCCCAACACCTCTGGCCAACACAGGAAGGAGCAAAATCATTCCCCTGAACATTGGTCAGGCTTTGTTCATCCAAGAAGGGTTGGGAGGACAGATGCAAAAGGGACCATCACATGATACTGGGGGTGAGATGGGGGTGTGTTGGGCCCCAAGCTGGCTTCTCAAAAACCAGGGAAGAAATAGATCCACTTCTTCTCTGGGGGTGGAGTTCATCTGGTCACCAGCTCAGTTCTTACCCTTGATGAGGCTGTCGCTGCCCCGGGTAAAACTTTCATCCTGTAGGCTCAGGACAAGGTTGTCAGCAGTGAGACAGATATGGGTCTATGATGTGGCAGTCGTCTTGGAGATGTTCTGGGCCCCCCAGATCTTGTGCAGTTTGAAATAGCCAGGGTTCTTGCTCAGGACTTCTCCAAGGTGAGCAAGTTGGGGTTAAGGGTTCACACTAGGCCCGGTCTCAATGCCTGGCCCCATCCTTGCTCCTCTAGCCCTTCTCTGGGCTGTCAGATCCAAGGTGGTTCTCAGATAGCTCGTGCCTAGTCCCACTTTGACCCCCAGACAGTAGATTTCTTGAAGCCCCTTGATACAGCATCAGCCCTCTCTCCTCCTTTGGAGTCTTTCTGGGATTAAAAACCAACTTTTCAGGTACCTGGTGTGTCCTTGAGAAAGGAGTGAAGTCACGGACCCTGTAGGCTGCTGGGTTAAGGGAAAGGAAAAGGACTTAAGGTTGTAGGAGAGGGATCAGGTGTCCGCATGCATCTCATTTTCTGTTGCAGCAGACCTGCTGATGTGGCCCTGTCCCCTTCAACTTCACCTCTGTGGCCACTCCCTGACTCATTAGCTTAAAACGAGGCAACAAGGAGAGTGATCACTGGGGCTGAACTTAGAGCCTTCCCCATCAGTCCAGAGGCAGAGAACCCGCCCTCTGAAGTCACTTCCTTTTGTTTTCTTTATCTCCATCCCATGACTGCATCTGTCTCTCCCACTCAGATGCCAGCTCCATGAGGGCAGGGACTGTGCCTCCCCCATACCTCCAGCCTGGCACATAGTAGGTGCTACTAAAAAAGTTATGAGGGTCCATCAACAGTGCCCAAACCGCTTTCTATAGAACAAGAAACCACCCTGGTTCTCAGAAGAAAAATCTATAGACACCACAGAGATTTTTAAAAAAATAGTTTATTGTCAAGTTGATTTCCATAGAACACCCAGTGCTCATCCCCACAAGTGCCCTCCTCCATGCCCATCACCCTCCTTCCCCTCTCCCCCTCCCCCATCAGTCCTCAGTTTGTTCTCAGCATTCAAGAGTCTCTCATGGTTTGCCTCTCTCCCTCTCCCCAACTATTTTTCCCCTTCTTCTCCCCCATGGTCCTCAGTTAAGTTCCTCGTAATCCACCTATATGTGCAAACATATGGTATTTGTCCTTCTCTGCCTGACTTATTTCGCTCAGCATAACAGCCTCAAGTTCTATCCATGTTGCTCCAAATGGCCAGATTTCATGCTTTCTCATTGCCATGTAGTATTGCATTGTATAGATAAACCACATCTAAAACAGAAATTTTTTAAAAAGCTAATAAATATTAAAGAGATGTCTGGGTGGTTCAGTCGTTTAAGTGGCAGACTTCAGCTCATGTCATGATCTCGCAGTTTGTGAGTTTGAGCCTTGCATTGGGCTCTGTGTTGACAGCTCAAAGCCTGGAGCCTGCTTTGGATTCTTTGTTTCCCTCTCTCTTCAGCCCTCCCCCACTCATGCTCTATCTCTCTCAAAAATAAATAAATGTTAAAAAGGTTTAAAATAAAAAAATAAAAAGCTAATAAATCTTAAAGACATGTAAGTGTGCTACAAAGCTTCCCTCTTTCCCAAACTCAGACTCCAATGGCTTTACAGGTGAATTTTTCCAAAGTTTTAAGACTAGCTAATACCTACTTTTACTAATTGTTCGAGTTGCTTTGAAAGTTGGGACACCTGAGTAGCTCAGTCAGTTAAGCATCCCAACTCTTAATTTCAGCTCAGTCATGATCTCACAGTTGTGAGATTGAGCCCTGCATGGGGCTCCATGCTGGGTGGTATAGCCTGGTTAAGATTCTATCCTTTCTCTGTCTCTCTCTCCTTTTGCTCCTCCCCTGCTCGCATGCACTCTCTATTTCTCTCTCTCTCTCTCTCTCTCTCAAAAAAAGTGAAAGTTACTTTATGAGATTTGAGTAAGTTTGATTCCAAAATGAGATCAGGACAATAAAAGAACATTCTAGGCTTGTTTCACTTATTAATGTAGATGTAAGGAAGTCTAAATAAAACATTACATAATAGAATCCAATAGGGTATTAAAATTACATGGCATGATGAAGGGGAAAGAATAATTCAACATTAAAAAATCTATCAGTGTCATTGCACACATTAATAGAATTAAAAATGAGAAAGTACGTGGCTATCTTAATGCAGGAAAAGCATTTGAAAAAGTTCAAATCTTATTTATAATATAAAAACAAAATAAAAGTCTTACCAAACTAGAAAGAGAAGGGAATTTCCTTGGTTTGGCTTTGTAATGGTAATGTAGCAAAAATCTTACAATACATGTTATGCTTAAGTAGAAGTTTTAGATTAATTTTCTTTAAAATCAGGAACAAGGAGTGCACTGGGATGACTCAGTCAGTTTAGCATCTGACTTCAGCTCAGGTCATGAGCTCAAGGTTTCTGGGTTCGAGCCTCACTTTGGGCTCACTGCTGTCAGCACGAGCCCACTTTGGATCCTCTGTCCCCTCTCTCTGCCCCCAGATGCCCGGGCTCTCTCTTTCAAAAATAGATAAAACATTTAAAAATAAATAGACAGACAGATAGATAGATAGATAAATAAAATCAGGAACAAGGAAAGGATGATATCAAGCAACATTACAGTTTAAGCAGAACTAGAGACCCTTGCCAATGTTATAAGTAAAGAAAAAAGTAATCAGTGGTATAAAGGCTAGAAAGGAAGAGTTAAATTTCTTTCCTAAATTTAGAAATTTCATTTTTAAAATAAAGCATCACATTTTCCATTAAAATGAATTTATTTCTTCAAAAGAAGTAGTCACAGCAATAGTTCCCATTTGCTGAAGTTACTGGGACCCAGGTAATGTGCCAAGCACTTTACATGTTTTATCTCATGTCATCCTTTGAATAACTGAAAAAGATACTATTCCTATTTAGCAGATTAAAAAACTAAGAGTCAGAGAAGGTAAGTGAGTTGCTCAATGTTGCACAGAAAATAAAAGAACAAAATCAGAATTCAAACCCAAGTCTGTTTGACTCCAAAGTCCATGCTCCTCACTACCCTTAACATTAAAGGGGTCGGGGCACCTGGGTGGCTCAGTCAGTTGGGCGTCCGACTTCGGCTCAGGTCATGATCTCATGGTTTGTGGGTTTGAGCCCCACGTCGGGCTCTGTGCTGACAGTTGGCTCAGAGCCTGGAGACTGTTTCGGATTCTGTGTCTCCCTCTCTGTCTGACCCTCCCCTGCTCACACTGTCTCTCTCTCTCAGAAATAAATAAAACATGAAAAAATTAAAAAAAAAAAAAACATTGAAGGGGTCTGTGCTCCCATGGGGATGTCAAATATTACAGGCTAAATCAGCCCCTGGAATGAACAGTTTAAAAAGTCCTGGATACTGAAATCAAGGGCCTTTGATGTCTTCTAGAGGATTAAAGATCCTTGCTGTTATTTATTTAAAAAAATTTTTTTTAACATTTTTATTTATTATTGAGAGACAGAGAGAGACAGGGTATGAGCATGGGAGATGCGGAGAGAGGGGGAGACAGAGAATCTGAAGGGGCCTGCAGGCTCTGAGCTGTCGGCACAGAGCCCAACACAGGACTCTCAAACCGTGAGATCATCACCTGAGCTGAAGTTGGATGCTTAACCGACTGAGCCACCCAGGTGCCCCGAGAGCCTTGCTTTTAAAAATAATGTCTAGAGGGACCTGGGTGGCTCAATTGGTTGAGCATTCGACTTCAGCTCAGGTCATGATCTCACAGTTTGAGGGTTTGAGCCCCTGCTTTGGATTCTGTGTCTCCCTCTTTCTGCCCCTCCCCCCCTCACACTCTGTCTCTCTCTGTCTCTCAAAAGTGAATAAATATTTTTAAAATTTTTAAAAAATAATAATGTCTAGACTCCCAATTTATTCTTGGGGTGTCATGAAAGCCTCAGGCACCCCCACTGTTTCCTCATGAGTTTTTAAGAAACTGTGAATTCTAGGTCCAGTCTTAAGCCTCCTCTTACCTTGGCTCTTCTTGCAGCTTGGAACTTTGACCTGCAGAAATCCGAGGACATGCTCCAGAAGGTAAGGCCCCATTCTCATGAATGTCCTGCCTCCCACACACTGTACCCCAGGGATCATCAGCAAAGAGTGGAAACTCTTGCCCTGTCCTATTCTCATGTGTTTCCTCCCTTCCTGCTTAGATCCCTTTCTGCAACAGACCTGGGTCTCTCCCAGAGCTCTTCCTGGCATTGTCATCCCCAGTTCTATGTCAGTAGAGCCTGGGGATGCTCTGGCAAGGTCTTGGGGCTATAGGCAGAGGGATTTGGCCTGACGCCTCAGGTGCCCTTAAGGCCTTTGTAGCAGGCAGTCCTCAGGTCCTGCCATTTCTCTGCAGCACATAGAGTTCCGGAAGCAACAGGACCTGGACAACATCCTCAACTGGCAGCCCCCAGAGGTGAGCCCCATGTAGCACCCCCAAGATAAGCAGATGTCCCTCAGACCCCCTCCCCCACACACCACATCCAGCCATCTGATAGAGCAAGGACACGGCCTGGTAGGCTGGTTTGAGTCAGGATCTCACCCCTGTGCCCAGGTGATCCAGCTGTATGACTCTGGTGGTCTGAGTGGCTATGACCATGAAGGCTGCCCTGTGTGGTTCGACATCATTGGGACCCTTGACCCCAGGGGTCTTCTCCTGTCAGCCTCCAAGGAGGAGCTTATCCGGAAGCGCATCAAGGTCTGTGAGCTGCTTTTGCGGGAGTGTGAGCTGCAGAGTCAAAAGGTAAGTGACTGGGTCCAGGATGAAAAGCACATGGTGGGCCCAATCTGTCTAAAGGGTGATACCAGCACCAGGTAGAAAGGGGAACCCGCCTCTGCTTTTTCCCAAGCCTCAGCACTCTGGGCTTTGGTGGAACGTGGCTTCTCGTGCAGTCACCAATCCATGAGCCTCTCACATGTTCATGGCATTCTCTGTGGGCAAGTGTCAAGGATCACCAAAGCCCTTTCCCCTCTGACCTTGGGTGAGATGTTGACCTTGGGTGCAGTGAATTCTCTAGTTCTATTTCCTGGGAACCCTAGGAACAGTGGATAGTCAGCTTTGCTTATGGAAAAGATGTTTCCAGTTGTAAACTGCGTAACTATAACATCCGATGGGAGAGCCATTGCTTTCTCAACATCCTTGAGAGCAGCGACCCTTCAAACTTGGTGCATCCATTGTGAGTCCCTAGAAGCTAATATGGAACTACTACAGAAAAAAAAAATTGATTTCTGTGAGGCATAGAGCTTCCAAGCCAAGAAGGACCCACACCACTTTCGCAGAACTTCTCTTTGCCCTGGCTCTGTGTTTCCTGGTTCACACCCTTCAGAATGAATCCAATGCCAAGCATGATCTGTTGACATTGAGTCTGAGTGTCTACATGAGCCTAAGAAGACCACTGGCAGGGAGCTTTTATGTCACTGTGGGATGAATTGCCTAGTGATAAGGACTGGGCCTGCGTCCCCAGTGTCTGTCATGGTATTGGACACAAAGTAGGCCCTCTGCACAAAGATGTGTGGCAAGCCTAAGAAAATTGCAAAGCATCCTATTTAGTGCCTCTAGTTTGAATAGATGTTTGTCTCTCGAACAAGGTGGCTGACCTTATGGGGTCACAACAGTGTCTTCTACTTACTTCCTGGATGTTTCCAATTGGAGGTGATAATTGCGGTGATGATGATACTAGTAACAACATCTGCTGATATTTACCAGGGGCCAGTGTGTGTCAGGCACTGGGCTCTTTGTGAGTTATTTCACTGAGTCCTCACAGAAATTCTATCAGAACCTGGAACTATCCCCATTCACAGAGGAAGGAAATAGGCTCAGAGTGCTTAAAAACCCACCCAAGGCCACACAGCCTGCCAGCAGCATAGCTCTGGTTTGACACACCATGGGACCACAGATGCTGGCTGGCAAAATATGCTATTGTACATGGAGATGCCCAATGAGTGACAAGTGAGATCTTTAATTCTACAGTTAACTAATTCCAGGCAATCCTGTTGAGCAAACAGTGTGACAAAGGTCACTGTGCCAGCGCTCAGATGCAGCATCTTCTTAGATCCTGGGTGGGCTGTTTGGAAAACCCTGTGGGCAGTTGGGGGTGAGAGTAACTGGACAGTGGAAGTAGTGAGTTCCAGGTCTCCCTGGCCAAGACCTCTTGGCTGGAGTTGTTGCCTGACCTGTATATCTGTGCTGTCCCGTGTAGCTGGGCAGGAAGATCGAGACGGTGGTGATAGTGTTTGACCTGGAGGGGCTCAGCCTGAAACACCTGTGGAAGCCAGCTGTAGAGATCTACCAGGAGGTAGGTAGGCAGCTTGCTTGAGACTAATAGGGAGCCACCATCCACACCAGCTTCCCATCCATGGAGGAGGAGTTGCCCCCCAGAAGCTCCTAGGGCAGCCAGAGAAGCTGGCCTGGGGTTTCCCCCTCCAAGGGGAAAGAGGAACATGAATATCACAGAAGAAGTACATCTCATGGGGAAAGTGGATGACCAGGGGGTGGGCTCTGGTCTCAGCAGTATTAGAAGCCACCAAGTCCAGGCATAGAGTGTGCTGGAGCATGACTTTGACCAGACTTTTCTTGCCACAGTTTTTTGCCATATTGGAAGCAAATTATCCTGAGATGCTGAAGAATTTAATTGGCATTCGAGGTGAGCCTATAATGGGGGTGACCCTTTAGGGAAAGGGGAGGGGGAATAGAAGGGAACAGTGGTATCACCCAGTTCAGGGCTTCTCAAACCATCATTTGAGATGATCAGGTTTTTTGTTTTTTCAGTCAGTCCTTCATAGACTGATACTTTGGGAATATACAAAATTATGCTCTGGTATGTAGCAGCAAATGTCAAATAAGTTCTGTTTCTAAATGTACACCCTTAGTTTCTTTACCTCTCTGGGTGTTGATTGGTGGTAACAGGTAATTCATGGACCACATGGGTTGATAGACATGCTCTGAGTGGGAATGTTCCCTGTCTGTGATGGTTGTAGAATGATGGGGCCACCATGTGTATCCTGGGGTCAAATGATCTGCTTTCTAATCTAGCTAGCTCTGTGATTTTGATCAAGTCTGCTTAACTTTACTGAGCCTCAGTTTTCCCAACCTGTAAAATAAGGGTGCAGTGATACCTCCCTGTAAGGCAGCTGTGAGGTCACATGAGAAAATCTATGGAGGAGTAGTACAGAGCCTGGCCCACAGAAAGCACCCAGTAAGTGTAAGCAATTCAGGTGGGACATGAAGTCTAATGCAAATGCCGCATCTACTTGCACCCAAGAGAATTCCAAGACAACACTATGAGACAAGGCTACACTATGAGTGTAGGAAAAAAAAGAGGCACCATTGGGAAATCCACATTATTGACACCCTACAACTGGGTAGGGGAGGCAGCCATTTATTGAGAGCCAGACACTATGCCAAGTGTTATGCATACATTGTTTAAATTTCTCCATTTTATAGTTAACAGCACTAAGACTCAGAGTGGGTGAGTAATTAGCTGAAGGTCACACAGCAGGAAGTAGCAGAATCTAAATCTATCCACTCCTATCCAGATCATGCCCTTGGCCATGAGTATACCTCCAAGTCCTCTAGTCCAGCTTCCCAAAGGAGTTTCATGTGTTTCAGCCCCCAAGCTCTTCCCTGTGGCCTTCAACTTGGTCAAGGTATTCATGAGTGAGGAAACACAAAGGAAGATAGTGATTCTGGGAGGTGAGTGACTTGGTCTCCTGGCTATGCCCATCTCTGCATCTGCCTGAAAAACAGAGGTCAATGTGAAAGGCCCCATTTTTCCCTGACTCGTCCTGACTCAGGTACCAACCTTGACCTGACCCCTGCTGTCCTTTGCACACTCAGATGATATTTCAGGCCCGAGACCCCAGCCTGGGTGGCCACATAAAACATTTGGGTGCTCTCAAGAGTAGGTGCATAGAGGAGCAAACCAAGGACACATCAGGTTTCCTCCCTGGACTTGACTCTTTTCCCCTCTGTCAAGCATACCTGAGTCCTCACAGCCCCCCTCCCCCATCTTGCTCCCACAGGCAACTGGAAGCAGGAGCTGCAAAAGTTCATCAGCCCTGACCAGCTGCCCATGGAGTTTGGGGGGACCATGACTGATCCTGATGGCAACCCCAAGTGCCTGACCAAGGTACTAGGTGCCCAGAGGATAAGAAGGGAGGGGTGATGGCTGGGGTCAGTGTTCACTCACCAGCCCTTACTCATAGATCAACTATGGGGGTGAGGTGCCCAAGAGCTACTACCTGCGCAACCAGGTGAAGATGCAGTATGAGCACAAGATAACTGTGGCCCGAGGCTCCTTTGTGCACGTGGAGAATGAAATCCTATTCCCGGGCTGTGTGCTCAGGTAGGGATGGCGGCCACTCCACACCTGGGCACAGATGGGCACAGCCCAAGCAGGTGGTCATTAGTAGGGCCCTGTCCTCTGCAGGTGGCAGTTTGCATCACATGGGGCAGACATCGGCTTTGGGGTTTTCCTGAAGACCAGGATGGGGGAGCGGAAGCGGATAGGGGAAATGGTGGAGGTGCTCCCCATCCGGCGCTACAAAGCCCACCTGGTACCTGAGGACGGGAGCCTCACCTGCCTCAAGCCTGGCGTCTGTAAGAGCTGTAGGATTCACAGGAGTCTTTTTCTCCTTCTGGCAGAGAAATGAGCTGATATCTCTTGCCAGGCTGTCCTGTTTGCCCTCTATTTCCAGCTCTCGGGGAGGGTATGGGCATCTGTGCAAGATTCTAGATCCTGTGGTTGCCAGGGGAATTGGCTTCAAGGTGTTGGATCTGGTGAGTGGCCCCTGGGTGTGGGTACAAGGGTAGAGTGCATTTCGGAAAGTGGGATGCACAGCCCAGAGCCATAAACTCAACTCCCAGGTAGCCCTTACACAGCACTCAACAGGCTAAGAGACAGGTAAGTAAACAGCCAGGGGCTTAGCTTTGGGAGTCCCAGCCTGCCCAGGTGCATAAGCAGACCCACTGTGGGAATCCCAAAGAGATGATTATTCCATGTGTTTATCCTTCATTCTCAGGCCACCCAAGCCAGATGAACATATTCCTCAGAAACCATACTGACCTTCCACCTCTATCAGGAACAGAACTAGGAGAAGGGGAACCCAATGTTGAGGAGGATGGGTTTTACTAATGCTTTGCTTAATACATACCTCATTCACCTTTGTGGAAAGGGAGAATTAGAAGGGTTGAGACTGAGAAATCTGGATGACTTATCACGTCCCAGAGTTCACTTTGCATCTTGGCATTGAAGGGAATGCCTTCTTTGAAAGGCAAGATGGAAAAGTGACTTATGGAGCTCGGCCCTCTCCTCTGGGGACAGCAGGGCTCCTCTCTGGGTTGGAGCATCAGGATAAAGGAAATGTATTCCTTCCCTTCCCTTGCTCAACACTCATTGGATAGTCCTATCAACCTCAGTAGGCCTCAGATTCCCCATCCTTAAAGTGGGGATGATATAGTACCTTCTGTGGGTCTGCTTTGAGGATTCAGAGAGCTATGGGCGCGGATGTGATGCCTGGCACATAGAAGGAGCTGGTGCGTGCTCCTGGTTATTATTTTTCCTTTAGTTGGCACGAGGAGATGGTCTTGAGAAGTGGACTGGAGGCTGGGTAGTGGCTGACCATCCACAGCCCTAGGCCTATTCCCAAAGGCACCAGATGTGCAGATGAGTCAGGTTTACTTTGCCTGATGACTTCTCCACCCTTGCAGATGTTCTGCGCTTTGACAACACCTACAGTCTGATACACATCAAGAAGGTCAGCTACACTGTGGAGGTGCTGCTCCCAGACAAGGCCTCTGAGGAGAAGATTCAGGGTCTTGAGGCAAGGAGACCATCTCCAGTGCAATGAAGACCTCGGCTGTCTCAGTCCCTGTGCTTATCAACCACTTAGCACCCCCTCCCTATCCCCTTCCCTCCTAGGCGGGGTGGTGTTTGGAGAAGCCACTTCTCCCCCCACCCCCTGCATTACCATCTCAGGTCTTTGTGCCCCCCGCCCCTGGCAGAGCAGGAAGGGGACATCCAGTGCATAGGCCACCGTGAGGATTCAGACAGACATCTGATCCCCTGTTTGCAGAGACTGAGAATGGGGATGCTGAAGATGAGCCAGAGTCCACCAAGAGAGGGTCCTACCAACAGAAGCTGCCCTTATTGTCACTCCTGACGAGGTCCACCAGTCTTGGGACTCACCCACACCTAGTGATCCAGCTTGGGGGTGTGTGCATGAGCCCCAAGCCATGCAGCGGCTCAACGTCAAGTCTGAAAAGCAAGGAAGCCCCCATCTCGGCACGTGGGTGCTCAGCAGGGATGGACAAGGCCAACTGGAGGCAGCTGGGTGGAGGGATGGGGCCAGCTACGTGGTGGAGCTGAGGGTCTTGGTTCTGGCAGGGCACCAAAGCCCCTTCAGAGTCACCTTACTGCCTTTGGAGGGAAGGTCAGAAACGGAGCATGAGGCCCAGTGGGGATAACCATCAGGAGGAAAAGCCACGCTCAGCCACATAGAACTAAATGAGCAAAAACTCAGTCTCTCAGAATTCTCAGTGACCCCTGCCTCTCCCTTCTCACCTGCTGTGATCCAGCTGACATTCAGCTTTGGTTCTCTCTGGCTCTGAGTAAGGACCAGGATCATAGCAGAGCTGGAGTGATCTGGAACATGCTGGAATAAGGTAGAATGTGCCTGGGTATAGCTCTCATCCCAAGGTGCTCATCCTAGACTCTGATTTACTTCTTGGAGACCCATTAAGCTTTTCCTCCATCTTTGTGTCTCACTAGGGGGACAGCTAATGTCTGCCAGCACCCCACCACCCCACCCTAAATGTGACTCAGTAGCTGGCCAGTGATGGCTTCCATTTCCCAAAGGCTGGCTCTCCTGGGCCCCACAGCCCACAGTCAGGACCACCATCTGCTCTCCTGGATAAACTGCACCCAACAGAGCAGCCCTTGCCCGGAATGAGCCAGTGAAGCTGCTGAGTGGTCAGATGTCCCTGTCAAAGGATTCCTTGCTGCAAAGCGTTAGCATCCTGGCCATCAAGACCTTTGCCAGAGACCTGAAGCCTCAGCAAACACCAACATCCAGGTGTTTTGCAAACAAGAAGCTGGTTCTGGCCCCTTTCTTGTTCTTGGATTCTGTGATTTCATTTTCACTGTTTAATAGATTTCCTGATTTCCCAGGGCCTGTTCTTCCCAGGCAAAAAAATGATGAGGCGTGTGAAGGTGAGTCTTCAGGTGAGCTCTGTGAGGTCCTTGGGGCCTCTGGCCCACCATCTGTGGCAGCCTCATCACCCATGGTTCAGCACACAGTCTGAACAGGGGCTCTACTGCTATGGAAAGCCAATGAACTAAGGAAATAAAATGTGAAAAGCCAGGGCACTGAGGCATCCCTGGCCCAATGGTGGTTGAAGAGTTTGGCATGAAGAAAAAACTTCCATGCCAGCTCCAAGGAGACAGCTTGGGGCTGTCAGGCACTTGCAAGCACCGTTACTGCATCCCCAATATAAGAGGCTTTCCCAGCACTCCCACTGCACTGCGTGACCACCCTCTGTGCAGCCTCCCCAGATGCAGAGACACTTGGTCATTCCAGAACCGTCTTCCTACTGGGCTGGCTGGGATTGTAAGGTTTCCCCTGTCAGGTTTCCCTGGGCTCACCTGTTGTCCTGACTGGGGGCTCACAATGCCTCACTTCTACTTCACATACTTCACCTAAAAACAAGGGGTTCATAGATTTGAACCCTGATCTTTGCTTTTCCAACCACCCACACCTATTTTCCACCATCAGCACAGCCTCCTCTGGCTTCCTTGCAGGTAGCAGATTGGCCCATACCATGCACAAAGGTTTAATTTGCACTGGGCTACCTGGGCAGTAACAAGTCACAGAGGGGTCGGATATGGGTACCAGTGACTGAATCCCAGAGCCGGCAGAATGCACCTCATGTTAAGCAGTGAGTACAGTGGTCATCTTCAGAAGTGAAGACAGGACATCAGGTGGATAGAGGGGCATGTCTTCCACAACTCCATCCCTGACTCAACATCATCACTTTTTTACAGGAAAAAAAAGAAAAAAAGAAAGTAGCTCAGAGAGGAGCTGGCTCACCTAAAGTTTGCTTCTTCCTTCCATTCGTTCATTAGTGTTTATTGAGAGTCTGTCCCCAGTGCCCAGGCACTGCAGGCCCTGGAGACACTGGGGGTGTTGGGCTTACCCAACTCTGTGAGCAGGATGCTTGTCTGTATGGAGGGAGGCCAGAGTGACTCTGATGGGCAGTCTCAGGTGGGCAGCTTGGTGTGGCAGGAGCCAAATTCTGGGGGCACATCCAGCCAAAAAAACCCTATGGGGGATCAGACGTGCTTTGCCCAAGGCAGGGACCCCTGAAGAGAGAGCTGAGGGTTTAGGCAAGCCTTCCAGGCTGAGGAATGGAGTGAGGGCAGCTGTGGGATGTTTGAAGCCAGAGAAAAGCCAGTAGGGCCCTTGGGTGATGCTGGTAATAGGTCACTGATGTTTGCTGTTTCTTTGTGAACAACTGAGTACACATTAAGTGATCATTAATAAAACCATTTCATAATGGAGGTTACAAAACAGAGACTTGTTGTTCATCAGAAAAGAATGACAAAATCTTGGCAGGCAGCCATGGATCAAAACTCTTGCTCAAAATGAGGTGGTTGGAAATAGTCAGGCCTTACCTGTCCAGAGGAATGGGGGCGGGGCCTGTCCTTCCCTGGGACATATCCCCTAACTGGAGAGCTCCACAGTCTGCAGGGCAAGCAGGCAGATAAGCAGGCTGGGGGGTACCCATCGGTTTTTTTGAGGGCAGTTGGAAAGGCTCCCTTGCCCCTCAATCTCTACCTCAGTTCAGCTCACCTTCCAAGTCCCCAGGCCAGAAAGGACACCAGCGTGGGACAACCACAGCAGCCCAGAACAAGTCTTAGCAGGGCTCCAGGCCATGGCCCTCAACAGTTTGTACAGTTCCTTTACATGCATCCCTGAAGCAGACAGGGATTATAGCCAGGAAACCAAGGCTCAGTGAGAGGAGTGCCTTGGGCCACAGCTTGAGTGTTCAGTGGCAGAGTTAGAGCCAGCACCTGGGTTAGCGGCCAGCAGTGACCCTGCCCTGCCTTGCAGGGGAGGAGAGAGTCAATGTGGGCAGGTGTGCTCCTGCCAGGGAGGGCCAGCCTGGGCCAGAGGGCCCATAAGTGGGACAGTGTGGCACCGGCCAGAGGCTGAGGCAGCTGCCTCTCTATGGGATGAGACAGTGCCAGCTCCTCTCCATGCCTACGGTGTGCTAGGCCCAAGCTGATGCAGGAAGCATCATCCCCTGTTTACTGATGATGATGAGGAGGCCTAGGGCAGGAAGTGACTTGTCATGTCACACAACATAAAGAGTGGAAGGTAGGACCTAAAGTGGGGTTCAGGTGTGCCTGGGTGGCTCAATTGGTTAAGCAGCTGATTCTTGGTTTCGGCTCAGGTCATGGCCTCACAGTTCATGAATTCAAGCCCTGCACTGGGCTCTGCACTGGCAATGCAGAGCCTGCTTGGGATTCTTTCTCTTTCTCTCTCTGCCCCTCCCTCACTTGCACTGTCTCTGTCTCTCTTGAAATAAATAAACTTAAAGAAAAAGAAGACATGAGGTGGGGTTCACAATCCAGATAGGCCAGGTGCTAAATGTGCACATTGGGTGGGCAGGCTTCACACTTGGTGACTTCAGAGGGCAGGCAGCTGCAGCAGACTTGAGCAAACGGCATTCAGCTGACATTGGCGACCTCCACTCTCAGCTACCAGGGGGTGGTGTTGAGCCAACTGTTCCTCTCCTTGTGGCGGAAGCAGGAACAGGGCCCCTCAGCATCCCGCTCATGAAGGCTGGTTTTGCAGGCGGGTTGAGGTGAAGTTCACTGGGCCTGAACTATTTGTGGGCTCATCTGGAGCAGCAGAAAAGGTGGTCCCACCTTGGTTCAAATCCTTGTTCTGCCACTTGCCTGGCTTTCTTTCTAAATCCCTGTGGACTCCATCTTCCAACCTGCGCCTGCCACCCTAGTCAGGGCCTCCATCATATCTTGCTTGGATTATTAGAAAGGAGTCCGTGAGTCTCCCTGTGCCCATTCCCACCACCTCCCATGAGACTCCACAGGGCAGCCAGAAAAAAATCTTTCTGAAATGAAAATCTGATCATCACTTCCTATATAAGCTCTTCACTGGCTCTTCATTCCTCCCCCCCCCCCCCAGGAAATGTTTGGTTTCATTGGTGGCTTATAAGGCTCTTTGTGACCTGACCATGACACCCCCATTGCAGCTTCACCCAATGACTTGAATTCACCAACTCGTCAGACTCCTTTCTGCCTCCCTGCTTTTGCTCATGCTGTTCCCTCAGTCTAGGACTCCCTTCCCAGTCTTGTTCTGCTCACCCTCAAGGTCCTCCAGGCCCTTTTTTCCTTGCCAAACCCCCTGGTCCCTAGCAGAGTGAGAGTCTCTTCTCCATGCTGTTGGAACAAGAGGGCCAGTGTTTATTATGCATTAGAGTCATTGTCTGCCTCATGTCTGTCTCCTATTCCCCACCAGGCACCAGTCCAGGCTACACTCCCCAGATGCTCAATAAAACCTTACAAAAACAGTAGATAACCATTTACTGAGTGCCTATGCAGGCCTGCTGCCCTTATGCTATCTTGTTTAATCTTCATGGGAGCCTTGTCAAATAAATATAGTCATCTTGGTTATATAGGAGAGGAAAGTAAGTCTCAGAGACAGTCATTTGCTCAGTGATGGCATCAAGACTGGAATTCAGGGGTGCCTGGGTGGTTTGATCAGTTAAGCATCCAACTTCAGCTCAGGTCATGATATCACAGTTTGTGGGTTTGAGCCCCGCATCA